TTTCCCTACTTTTCAAAAAATGCTCTTAGAAAAGCAGGGCAGGGGCAGCCATAATTAGCCACATGGCCCTGCTGGGTCTAGCTCCATGGACCATCCAGCCCCATATTCCATCTCTGCGAGTGAGACCACATCAAGTTTACTAACAGTGTACAGATCAGATGTGCCCAATAAGATCAGGCTCTTCATTTTGGAAACTGTTGTAAGTTGGTTTGGAGTTGGGAAGGCTGGCCCTGAAGAGGCCCTATTTTCAAGCCTCATTCACGGCAAGCAGGCAGATTCTGGAAAAACCTGTTGCTTGTGTGGTGTGGGCAGAGGGCAAGTAGGGGGTGGTAGGTTTATAAGAAGCATGGGGCCTCCCCAGAGATGTAGCTGCTTAACATCAACTGTGATGCTTAGTTAGAAACCTTTAGTTTATAAGGAAGTTGTCAGAGCTGAACATTTTAAGTGATTTGCTGTCACTATGAAAACATGTCTGTCTTGACCCTGGGGAGAGAAAGCATCTGGATTACAGACCATGTTCATCCTTCCTACTCCATCCTGAATGATGACTAGAATATCAGCCAGTATCGGCATTTGCAAGCACAGTCACGCTGCTGAGGGTTAGACCAAACTTTAGTGTGCATATGAATTACCTGGAGATCTTACTAAAATGCAGATCTGATTCCAGAGGTCTGGGGTAGGGCCCCAGATTCTTCTTTTCTAACAAGCACCCAGGGGATACTGGGGCTGTTGTTCCAAGAGCCACTTTTAGAGCAGTAAGGGGTTACTTTCCCCCTAGTGAAGAACTACATGACTTAGCTACTGAGGGAGAGAGAAACAGAGACAGAGACGGACAGAGAGAAGTTAAACACATACACATCATGCAGTATTTAATTGTGCTCTCCATAAGAAATGTTTGGCAGAGATTTTTAAATGTGCATTCAAATGTATCAGATATCTGTGATTAATAGACTAAGGGGTCTGAAATCTTATTTCAGTGTGTTTTAAACACATGAACAAAACAAACCTTTAAACTAAGTAATGGTTTCCCATGGTAGCTGTGCCATGTTAATCCTTATTTAAATGCTTTTCTCTGTCTTGAATGAGATAAGGATTTTTTTTACAGGCAGAGAGACTGAAAATAATTGTTTTTAATACACAAGTAAAAAACAATGCACAGTATAAACACTTAATAATGAACTCAGTAGAACTCACTTACAATGGTCTTTTATCTTTTTGTTGGTGGATTTTTTTTTAAACTAAAGGGTATCATAACATTTATTTACTATATTTAGTTTAATTGAACACATAGTCACTGAGTCCCACACCAGTCATTCCTAACACCGCTCTCCCCTGTTCCCTGCCATTATAAAAACTGAAAAAGCCAGTTTGTTTTCTCAGCCTCCTTAGCAGCGAGGGGTGATCATGTTCCAGCAATGAAATGGAAGGAAAAGTCTTCTGGGGGCAAGGCTGACCCTTAACAAAGCACTTAACAACCAATAGGTATGAGTGCTCACCAAGCAGAATGGATCCCAGACCATAAGCCATGTTAGGGGCTTCTTGGGAAACATTTCCTCCCTGATGAAAGGGAGAAAAGCACAGGAGGAAAACTGGTTTTGCCTCCTGCCTTGTTTCTTCCTACTTGGGATGCTCTTGTCTGGGCATGAGATGTTTGGAGCTGCAGCAGCCATTCTGTAAACATGAGAGGATACATCACCTACCCATTGAGGATTGGCAGAGAAGCAAGACAGAAAGCCCAGGTCCCTGATGACGCTGTTGACCATTAAGCACCTGCCTCTAGACTTCTTGTGAGATGGTCTGTATTTTTATAACCTGATGCTAGTCAGATTTTCTATTATTTGCTCCTGTACACATCCTGATACAAGTATCCTCCATAAGCAAGATGTGGTAGGGAACATGGAAATCAGTCAGGTACAGTACAGCCCCCAATGCCTTTATTGTTTTATTCACTCAAGAATCAGTATGGGAAGAACTGCCATAGAAAGGTTCTATGCTAGGTTGCCTAAGGACCACCAAGAAGAGGGAACTGGCCTCTGACCCCTGGGAGCTGGCATATACAGAGCCAACTCTAATGCAAAGCAGAATGAGTTAGTGGTACAGTATAGGTTCAAAGGAAGGATGGTTGGAACTTATGGGAAAGAGGCAGAGAGATTTTGCAGGTGAGATAGCATTTGAGATAGACCTGGAAGCTTGAGTAGAGTCTGACATACAGGAATTCTCGGGGCAAGGCAAGAGGTGGACTGGGCTTCCCAGACCAAGTTGGGAAGGTGGGTTAGGGCCGTATTGTGGTGGGCCTGGAATGCCAAGTTGGGAGTTTCAACTTAGACATCTTGGGAAATGACAAAAGTTTTTGAAGGAGGAAGCAATATATGGGGAGTATTACAGGAATGGAAGATATTAGAGGCAGCTCGAAGAGTTAGGAAGGACCCACGAGGGTTCATGTGGGAGGAATGGAGGGCTAAACTGGGGGTGAGGGAGGATGTCTTTGGGGGCCTGGTGTTTATTATTATTCATATTACATCATCCAAGCATGAGGCAGGTGAAGGGTATAATGTGCAGATACCGTACAGATAAGCAATTAGACCTACATTGTTTTTTGTTGAATTGCTTTGTTCTTTGTTTTCTGAGGGGATCTCAAAGACAGTGGTAGGAAACAGAGATGTTAGAGACGGCTGAGGTTTTGAGCAAGGATGACTCAGAATGACTGCTGATAACAGAAATGGTGAGTCAGAAGGAAGAGTGGGCATTGGAGGGAAAGATGCTGGGCAGGATCTTGTGTGTATCTGAGGAGCCACTGTGACGTACAGGTGGACAGATGTAGCAGTCGTTTGGAAATTCAGCATTAAGCTGGATATTTGGAACTGCAGGAGAAATAACATTTGGAACTAAGGATATGGATCATAGTGCTGAGGAAGAGGCAGGGGCATGTGAATCTGGACAGTAAGAATATCAGAATGTGGTTATATTTACAACCATATATATATATATATAATATGTATTACATTATATATAAGTCGACATGCTTTCACTTGTGGTTACTGTATACACAGTCAGCATTATTCCAAAGCCTAAAATCATCTCATCGGTGATATTGTACAGTATTGTATATCTGTATTGAAAGAACCGAAATTTAGATATTTCCAAAAATGTGTGGAATGAACTCCCCCTCCTCTAAATGGTTCAATCAGAGCATTCGTTCAATGTATACTGTAGGTTTTATGGGCTTTAATTACTTTTTATGAATGTAACTCACTGAATTAGCAGAACCACATACCTTAAGCCTGCCATTTTCTCGTCAAATGTTTGTTCGAGTTTCTGGGTAGAAATTCATGAGGATTGGTTCACTTAACCTTGAGAGGTCTATTCTGTGTCTTCAGAAAAGTGTCCTCAGTTGGCCCATTTTATTCAAAGGCAATATTGTTGAAAGGCACCTCTCTCTCTGGAAAATTCTGACTTCTCAATCTGATCCTTCTCCTAATATGTTAGGAAAAAGCACTTACTAAGGATTTGATTTCTAAGTTTTTAAGTAGACGAAGCAGGGAGGAGGGCAGATAGATAAACCTGCATGTTTCACGCAGTCCCACAATTCTTTCAGGTGTGGGAAGGCAGCTCCTACTCACCATCCACACTTCTGCATCTGGATCATTTACCTGGAATGCCAAAACGTCTGCATTAGCGACATGCTGTCATGTACCATTCCAGCATTTGGTCTGCTCTTTATTCATTTCAGTCATTTTCTAAACGCTGCAGTAGGGACTGAGGATACAAGGAGGAGTAAGACATAGTGTAGCCGATGGTGACGGGGAAGGGGCTTCAACCCCAGCACCTGGTTTGAACACACAGCCACACCTACCTATCTGTAAAGAAGGGCACAGGGGTTCCGCAAAGGGCGAGCGAAGCCCAGAATGGGTATCTTAAGGGCCCTCCAGTCTCAAGGGATGAGGAAAGCTATCACAAAGGGGCCCCAAAGCAGGCTTGGAAGGATAATTAGCTGCAAAGGGTTTTGCTCTGCTTCCTCTCCTGGGCCGTGAGTTCAGCCTCGCCCCCAAGCTGCCTTTTTAGAAAGATGCCAGGGCCGCTTCTGCTCAGGTCCCTGCAAAGGGACACGCGCCGAACCAGTTCCTTCCAGCATGTGAGCAAACGCGACCATATGATCACACCTGTCTCAGCTGGAGCCGGAGTGCGGGTTCCCGGATCACCAACCCTGACTCCCGCCCTCCCCGTACCGGGCCGGCTCCTGCGACACCGCCGGCCGCTCAGCCTACACCGCACGGGGCCTGGGGCGGAGCTCGGAGCCCGGGGTCCCGCCGCCCGCCGCCCGGCCCGGGGCGCTGACCTGCACGAAGGCCGCCAGAGCGAAGAAGGCGCCCATGAGCCAGTTGCAGGCGCGCCACAGGCCCGACGCCCGGCGCCCGGCCGCAGGCGCCATGGTCGGGCGGCGCGGTCCACGCGGCGGCCCCTCCTTCCACCCGGCCCGGCCCGATTCCCGGAAGGCCCTCGGTCGTCCGGTCCCGGGGCCACTGGCCGGCGCGCGCCCGGGTGGGAGGGGCGCCGGTCGGGCCTTCCTGTGGGACCCAATTCGCTCCTCCTCAAACGTAGAGAGGCGTAGGTATCTGCCCATTTCTCAGACTCGGAGAGTGAGTGGTTCAGCCTCAGGGAGGCTGGTTCAGCGTCTCACAGCTCGTCCTTGGGGGCAGGAAGTCGCATTTGAACCCAAAGAGGTGCAACTCCAATGCCAGTTTTCACTAAAGCTGCCTTCACATTTAAAAAAAAAGATAGAGGAAATTAAAGGGGAGGGAAGGAGGGAGGAAAGAAGGAAAGAGGAAAGTAGAGGCGTGTGTGTGTGTGTGTGTGTATGCGTGTGTAAGCGTACGCGTGCGCGCTTTCTGGTTAGTGTTTATGCATTTCTTTCCAAAGCTCAGAAACTTTCAAAGCCCTGTAAGCATTATGGTAATTTCTTAGAGTGACGACAGTCACATTAGCATCTCATACAGCTCACAGATTTTCTTAAGACAGCCTCGTTTATCTTCATGGGCTTTTATTATCAGAGGTATTTACATATTATACATATTTACAATTCTTTCCCACCACCAAAACCAACAAATTCTCCACACGCGTTGCTCATGAATTTCTTATGAACCGAAGACACTTGAAATATTCACTTTTCTCTCCTCACTTGTTTTATGGTCTTTTTCTGTTTTGTAATTTACCCTTCTGATTAGTTCTTCCCGGGGCTCATTTACACATCCATAGGCCTCATCATTTTTGCTGTTCTAAAGAGTCTTTATCATTTCAAATCATGAGCCTGTTCTCCTGTGCTCCTCTCCTTTTCGCTAAATCTCCTAAAAGTCTTTAGGAATTTTTTTTTCTTTCTTTCTCTGTTTCATTCCTTTCAAATAATGCTTATTTCAAGAACGTTGTCTGCTGGATGCCTGGCCCCGTGCTTGGTGCAGGGACCATGAAAGGGACTTGCTGTACGCTCTCCGGGATAGTTTGGAAATGGGGTCTTTAAAGAGATAATTAAGTTAAAATGAGGTCACATGGGTGGGCCCTTATCCAATATGACTGGTGTCCGAGAAGAGATTTACACACAGACGTATACAGAGGAAAGACCACGTGAGGACACAGCGAGAAGACCACCGTCTGCAAGCCAAGGAGAGAGGCCTCAGGAGACACCAACCCTGCTGATGCCCTGATCTTGCCCTCCCAGCCTCCAGAATTATGGTCAGAAAATAGGTGTTTGTTGCTTCAGTCCCCCAGTCTGTGGTACTTTGTTATGGCAGTCCTAGCAAAGTAATACAGGAAGTGATCATTGCCAACCAAACGGAGGTGTGGGTGGCAAGGAGAGAGTGGTATGAAAATGCTTTGTGAACCTGTGTGCTGTGCAACTACCCTGCAGTTTATATTTTTCTGTGTTGTCTGGGGCGTTCATGGTCACTGTGTGGACATGTATTGTTTTTGCTGGCGCAGGGTTCATTCCCCTTCTTATAGGATCAGCATCCCAGTTACTGGGGAAGGACCCTGCTCCCACTGTCAGGGCATGTATACCAGGAGGGCTGGTGTGCTGGTGCCTTTCCGGAGATGGGCAGGTGACCGTGGCCTGCCGTTTGGCGTAGCCCATCCTCCTGACCACAGCGATTGGGTCTGGGATGATATGTGATGCAGGTTGCCCAGATTTCAGTCTTGTGCTGGAGGGAGGGTTGCCAGATAAAATACAGGAAGCCTAGTTACATTTGAACTTCAGATCAACAAGGAACAATTTTTTAGTATAAGTGTGTCCTAAAGATTTGCTAAATCCGGTAACCCTAGCTGGACCATTAAAGAGAAGCTTTCTTTTTGCTGAGGGTGTTGAACTGGTAGCATGTAAGCTGGAGCTGCCAGGAGAAGGCTTTTCTGAGGGTGAGCTCAGGTAGAGGAAGCAGAGCTCAGAGAGAAAGAAGGCAGGAACCTGGTAACATCGCGTGAGTGAGGCTCTGGGTCCAGCCCCACCGACCGCTGGGCACGGCCTCACCACCCTTCAGCTTTGTGAGCCATCTCAGTCCCCTCCTCACACACAAGCCTGTGTGAGTCAGGTTTTTGTCACTCACGACATAGAATGATGACTTGTAAAATCACGATTCAGTAGTTAGCCGATGCTTGAAATCCTCTAAATCCTCCCGCTGCATGTCTGTCCAGATTTTGCAAACATAGGCTGAGCCTGAAAAGTCATGAGAAATAAGTTTAAGTGAATCCAGTATCCCAGAGAGCTCTGCTTGAGAGGTCACTCCATTTCCCTTTTTAACTGCGGTGTCACACGCTGCAGGGATGAGGAGGTTTGGAAGGGAGCGGGGGCCTGTCAGCGCTGGCCTCCCCCTGCCGAAAGGGCGGCACGCGGGACCTTCATCCTGCCAGGCTGCTCCCAGGCTGCCAGGTCAGTGGCAGCGTCATGAGAGCAGTCAGAGCCACTGGTGCCAGGCAAGGGGGACTCGCGTCTCCACCAGAACCCGACAGTGCCTGGGCGGCATGCAGACGTCTGTCCTCTGAGAACTTGGAACTAGAGGTGCTTGCTTGAGCGTGGGCGTTGGTGATGGCCACCGGATGATGTGTTTGGGGACAGGGATGCTGGAATAAGAGTCCTGCCCCGTGCCCGATGTTGCCTGTCCACCTCCCTCCGTCCACCACCCGGCTCAGCAAGGTTCCCCCTCGCATAGTCTGCTGGTTCTGTGTTGGGGAGGAGCTGGGGTGGGGAGGGGTTTGGAATAGGACAGCAGAGGGACACTGCCTGGGCTGTACCGGCTGCTCCTAAGGTCTCTGAACTCAGACACGCACCTCACCAGGGCAGGGATTGATTTGCTTCTGCCAAACCCATCTGGTCTCCGTGAAGGACTCAGGTTTCTGCTGTTAGCAAAACGTAGACCATATCATGAAAGCCCTAAGTTTACTCATATCGATTTACACTGAAAGACACCTGGCTCAAACAACGTTCCTCGAAATCCTGGCCGTCCCCTTACACCTCCAGTAGGAGAATGTGTACTGGTTCAAGGCACCCTCCATGTGTGTTTCCCTTCATCACTGTGTCCCTCAATGAGTGAAGCACTCATTGAGTCACTTATTTCATCTGTTCACTGAACATTTATACAGGCCTTAACTACGTTTAGGCACTGAGCTGATAACTGATTATGTGACCGTGAACAGAAGAGATACAGGCCTTGCTCTGTGGAGCTGACAGACCTCACAGGAATCACCCAAACAGTCAGGTGGTCCCAGCGGTTCGAACTGTGAAGGAAAAGCCAGGGCCGCTCCGGGAGATGTGTCAACGAGGGGAATCGGACCTCTATCAGGGGCTTCGAGAAACTGTCTGGGGAGGTGACTTTTGGGCGTGGCCTGAAAGATGAAGGGGTGAATGCGGTGATGCTGGCCCTGAGCTCTCCAGGGCTGGCATGGGCATGGGTGGACACAGAGGAGGCTGGAGAGGTGCCGCCTCGGGAGGTTGGCTTATCCCTAGTGTTGGGAGAGCCCAGAGCAGCAGGGGGCTTGGCTCTGAGGTCCCTGCAGGAGACCAGGAAAGACGCGATGCAGCACGGATGAGCCACCTCGATGGGGTAGAACCACAGGGCTGTGTGCAGGGACATAGTTAAGAGTTTGGGCCTCATGGCTGAGGACTGGCTGCAGGAGGAGGTGGACTCACCTTGGCACCTGCCCATGTAGGGACCCCTCCTCCCTGTTGCCCTGGCTCTGTGCGGTTTCCCTGGAAGGTCAGGGCTTGCTAGCAGTTTATCTCCCCATGTGGGGATGAGAGTCCTCCTCTCCTGCTTCTTTTTACACTTCGCTTTTGTTGCTTTTATAGCACTTCTTAGTTTTTACCTTGCGCTGATTGTTACGTGTGTACGTGTGTTGTCCACACTCCTGGACTGTGCCACAAATGGCAGGAGAAAAGGACTATAACTTACCTATTTTTATCCCCCTCCCACAGTACCTGGCATACCTGGATACCAGTGGTATCCAACAGTGAGTGGGGATGCCTTGAGGCGTTGTAAGAATATTGCTGAAAGTTGGGTTTGATGGGGGCGGGAAGTGTGTACTGGTTAACAGGTATTGGGCCTGCTGTGTTAGGCGATAGTCTAAGCACTTTGTCTAGATTAACTTATTTCACGTCCACAACAGGTCAATTAGGTAGATACTGTTATTACTCCCATTGAATGGATGACGAAACTGAGTCATAGACTAGCTTTTAAATACACTGGTTGAGAAAGACCCCAGCTCTCTGACCTGCGAGTCAGAATTGGGCTTCTCCAAGTCCATGGAGAGGCCTCCTATGGGTTTATGGAAGCAGTAAGCAAGGTGGGCCCAAAGCTCTCCCACTGCGAGGGAGAAGCATTTCACTGAGTAGTTGGTCCGAACCAGAGCTGGGAGAGGGAGGCTTTAAGGGGTCATCCATAGACACAGGCTGGAGGGGCAGTCCTTCAGGGCCTGCTTTGATGCCAGCTTGCTTATCTTCTTAGCTATTTTCAAGACCAGAGGGATTTTTCCACTCAAACCTTGACTTTTAGAGGCTGATTAGATGAAGCTGTATTCGGAGGTAGGAAAAGGTGAGTGTCTTTGCAGCCCCCTTCTCCAATCCTGACTCTCCGAGTTTGGACCAGGCTGAGAACTGTGGGTGTCCACAAGGTGGCGGGCTTCTGCTTCCAACAACTCTGCCGGGAGGAGGGCACAGTGGGCCGGCCGCCGGCCGTGCTCCCCTCGGCTCCGCCTGCGTGGCTGTGATGTAGCCTTTCTGGGTGGGTATGATGTTGGTATCAGCCTGAGGTGAAGAGGTACAAACAGAACTTTGTACCAGGAAATAACGTGGGTCCCAGCAGGGGTGTTGCTGACCTGGAGCCGAGCTCTGCTGTGTCCTGGCAGAGCTTCAAACTGTTTGCCATCCCAGGATTCCAGGAAAATCAGATATGC